TGGAACCAATCCGAACCAATCCATTTAAATACGGATTGGATTGGTTTAGGACCACGGATTCCCATAATTAAATAATAAAAATATATTTATAACACTTTAATTTTATAAAAATATAAACATAGCGCTATATTAGTTTCACAATAGCAACATATTTTTCTATAATAGCGACATACTGTTCTAAAATTTAAACAACCATAAGAAAAATTGGTTTCACTATAAGTATTTAAACCATTATAAATTAAAACTAAAAACCAACAAACAAGAGTAATAAAAGAAAATATTATATGGTTTTAGGTTTGAGTTTAGATTTTATATAGAATTAAGAGAAGATACTATGGGGGCCCCCCCCCTTCTTTTTTTCTCCTTTTGATATTTCCTCATTCCAAACACCACAAAATTATCAAGGAATTGCTAGGAATGTGCTCTTACAGAAAACACCATGAAGGCCTACTTATGTTATCATCATATTATTGTAGCATTGTGGCTAGATTGAGATCTAGTAACATTGCATATGCCATGAGTGAATCTTACTTCCCTTTCCCTAAAACTGGCTGGCTCATCAGAGAGTCATTGGCATGAGAAAGGAATTAATGTAGATCTAATGAAGACAAATAAGGCCCAGTTTCGTCAACAGATAGCTTCCAATGATCCAGCAGACACAACAAAGTGTCAACAAACCAAAATTATATTGTTGGCTCTCTAACCTTTACTAGGCTTCATCCTATATCAACTGCAGTGCCTTATGCCTTGCTCCAGCAGGCACAACAAAGTGTAAATACAAAATTGCAGATTTTGAGATCCATAATATTGCTTGTATTGGCTCTCTAATCATTTTATAGGGTCATAGATTTCAAGGGTGCAGCAGATATGGTTTGTTTCAAATTGTTCTCCTCATAACAGCGAAGGTTATATTTCATCTGACAGACACACAAACACACACACAAATAAATAAATAAAAATTTGTTCCCTTTTACAGTTGTCTATCCACCACCTCCAATGACCATTCACTAGCACAACCTTCCATTATTATCTCCTAAGGAATTTGATCATTTTAAGTATTATATCATGGAAAATGCTAAAAACAACCCTTTTTAAAAAGTGTATAGAAATATATAAAAATATGTGAAAGTGTTTTAGGATATGTGAAATATGTATCGGAATTATAAATATTTTAGCATTATATGCTACTCATTGACAGCCCTTAGCAGGACCTTATATATCATCTTTAATCTCCATCAGAAATATTGAGAAGAGTAGCAAAACAACTTTTGAGTGTCAATCAAAGAAGACCAACTGTGGTAGACGGTGACAAATAATTTAAACCCAGTATCATAAACAGTAAATAATCAAGTTCCAACATGCACATGTTGGTTGGTTCATCGCAAGGAAATCCAAATCGCAGAGTCATGATAAAAGTAAAACTCAAGCAAATCTTAAAATATTTTATCAAAAAAATAAAAATAAAAATAAAAAGGAAATCATGGATTTCATACGCAAGCTAACAGGTATGCCTCCATCAAGGAATCACTCATCTTACCGGGACTGCAAGAGGTCGGAATATCCTTTTGCGAATTCGAAGCCATGACCAGCTGTCTTTATCTCACACACACACATACACGGAGAGAGAGAGAGAGAGAGAGAGAGAGAGAGAGAGAGAATAGAATAGAATAGAATGTTAAAATCCAGAAGTTGTCTACAGAAAAAGACCTTGAATAAATAGGTGTTAAACATGAAATCAAACAATCTAAGCCAATTCCAAAAGCCAAATCGCAGAAACCCCAAATAGTAGCGTAACTGTAAGAACAACAGTAAGACTAAAACCTTATGATGACGGCTTAGATAGGCTCCGACGCACTGGATTGCCTCGCGTGCTTTTCAAAATTGAAGGAGAAACTTTCTCAATTCACTATCTTGAACGGATTTGATTTTAAAACCCCTATTCACCTCACCACCGAAAATTCGATGCAAGTTTCAGTGGGCCACCTCAATCCTTATCTCCCCAAATGAATGGTTCCTACTTCTACACTGCGATAGCAAGACATCAAATATTTTTGGATAAATTACGCTTGCTCACTTGACGTTTGTAAAAATACAATAAACTCAATTTTAACAGAATTATATTCACTTTGTTTTGGGGGGATTTATTTATACCAAACAAAAATATAATAAATTACGCTTGCCTTTTGTCCTATTCAAATAAAGTCTAGAAATTATTCTGGTAGCCTAGTTAGCCTCATGTATTTATAATTTTATTTCGTAACATCTTTTTTTCTTGATTTAGATTTTTTATTGGACTATTATACTCTTATTTTATTTATTCATATGTATTACACACAAAATAAGATATACACGTTTTTTCATATTTTGTTCTTTTTGATATATACATTTTTCATTTTTTTCTTTTTTCTATTTTAGCAATTTTGCAAGATCACTGTTTGCTGGGCATTCATTTTTTTCTCTTTCTAAAACAATGTGAATGTTCACATTGATTTTATAATCTCTAAAAATATCACAATATCAACATTGCAATAACCATGAACCATCATTTCCATATGTATACAAGCATGAAGTATACATTTATGCACAATCAAATTATTGATATGTGTGTTAACATCACGAATAAAATATCAAATAAATTAGTTTAGTCACATGAAACTCTTAGTTATGTGTACATAATTATAAAGCAACATAAACTAATGTGAATATTAGCATTGACTTTGTAATAGCAAACATTTTAATAACATACCAGTGTACCTTATTAGGCACAACCAAAATAATTAATTCTGGTTCTTTTGTTCAATCAATATATATTCCAATATTTTTACAAAATTGCAAAAGATGTGAAGTTCACATCCATTGGTAGTGGATAGATTGCTTTTTGTATGTAAATCATGGGTTTTGTATCGGAGAAAATCATAATATTCACATCAATAATAGATTTTGGCATGCTTGTATGCTTTCAACGCGCGTACAATGACATCATCAAACTTCATGTATTTGGTGTAACGACTCCAAAATGCCTGTCACAATTATATTTATTTAATTATGCGATAATACGAATTAATTTGAAAATATCTGATGCGGCTACAACTTCAGGACTGAAATTGATGACATAAATGGGTTCAGAAATCAAAATTGAGTACAAGGATTTGTTAATTGAAATTTTTAGAGTTATCCGGAAAGTTTAATTAAAAATTGATTCCGTCTGATTTGCTAATTTTAATAGTTTGGAATTAAATAATTGAATAGGAATTAGAGCTTAATACACATTAGTATAATTTAATTTAGTGTAATTAAGATTTTAAGATGTTGAGACTAATTTACTTTGAGTCAAATTAATCTTAATTAATCTCTTAGCCTTAGGTAATTTTACTTAATTTATTAATCTATTTAATTTGAGCCTAGTGTCTTTCATACTCATCAAATGCGTTTAGATGAGAGAGCTAGTGGGTCTTGTTGAATGGCTTCACACTATACACGTAGAGAGAGGAAGAGAGACTTGAAAGTGTAAACTCAACCCAGGAAAAGAAGAAAAAGAAAGTGAAGAAAAGAACACATAGAGAAAGAAGAAATTTGAAGGAAAAGTAGGAATTCAACTCAATTCTCTAACTCTAGGTGAGAATTCCTTGCTTGTATCTTACCAATTTGAAGAATCACATTCATATTTATAGAATTCTAGATTATTTAAGAAGAATATAAACTTGATGAGGTGAATTAAATTTGATTGTAAGAGATGTTGATATAAATAAAAAAAGTATATATGCATATCAAGATTTTTAAAGATTCATGAACATACATTCATTCTCTTGCATGGATTGGATTCACAAATGAAGTAATTTTCCATGAGAGTTGAGGATTTTAAGCTTAAGGATGCAAGTAAATATTACAGTTGGGTCTATAAAATTATAAAATGAGGAATTAAAAGAATACATTCTTAAAACTCAACATGCATGACATAATTTTAGTTCAAACACCTATTAGTTTGCATGATCCTTATATGCATGTCATGTTTTCAAGAATCCATGAACAAAACAATTGTTTTCTAAACTTATTTTCAAACATGATTCATGGAGTTTGAGAAGAGATTAAACATGAATTAGAGCTTGAGTTCAAGAAAATGGATGTTTCATGAAATTGAGTTTCAAAAATGGAAGAATGGGTTTAATTTGATATTTAGAGCCTTATAAGAATTCAATTAAAAACTTGATTTAGGTTCATAAAATTAGATGTAGTCGAATTAAGTCTTAATTGAGAATTAATTGAATTCAATTGAAATTGAGTTAGGCTTAACATTATGGAAATAAATGTGAAGATTAATTATTTGGGCCTTGATTTGCTTGAAAATAGAGTTGAAATTGCAAAATGTGCATATTTATGAGTTTCTGAATCAATAATTTAAACATGACTGAATAATTGTAATTTAATTTGTATGAGCCTAATTTAAGTTTAATTGTAAAACTAGTGAACTTAATAAGGGTTGTGTATGATTAGAGTCTTTATATTTAATTAGTTTGGTTAATACATGACTAAACATGTTTTAATTAGAGGTTAAAGGAAATTAATAATCTAATTAATTCTTAATTATAGTCATCCATATTTAAAAGCTTAAGTAAACTAAATATGTTAAAGATGATTGTATATCACGCTATGCATATTTGTGATTGTAGGCCACGAGTCAAGGACTAATTGACCAACCGTTCTGGAAGCCCACTGTGAGTAACATTTCTGTAAAGATATGTTGATATAAATTATATTTTAATTGTTATCGATAAGCTATGGTTTCTTGAAATGCTCTCTTGATTATATGAACGAATGTCCTATTTGTGAATCTATTATGGCATCCACAGATAGTCTCAAGTCATGGGGGACGGCATGTAAATGCGGGTCCATGACATATATGTGATTACGAGATCTCGTTAGCCACTTCATTGTGGTGATATGTATTTAATCGGTATCCGGAACCGATTACTCTAGTCAGAAGACGATATGTGATATGTTCTGTGAGATGTACCATTATGTTATGTTCTGATATGAGACTGATATGAATGATCGTGTCATGATTTGTTTTATGGATATGATATATTTGGAATTCGTTCACTAACCCTTTTATTTTAATGTTATTCACTGGGCTTTAACTCACTGTTTATATATGTATGTATAGGTGAGCATTCCTGAGGACAAGTCTAGAAGGAGTCTTAGTCAAGCCATTGTTTTGAAGCCTACCGCGTGGTTTTGAGTGCCTCAGAGTTGAGGCTAGGCCTAGAAGGCCGTTGTCAAGCTTTTGATCGTGAAATGAACTTTTATTATGTGCATATGTTATGTATAAGATGTTAAGTTATAAGTTATGTACTGAATGTGGGCAAATTAACGTTTTTGCATGAGAATATTTGTTCATGTAGATGCACAGCTCATTGGACTATTAGTGTTTTTTTGTATAGTGCTTCCGCTAGCCCCGATTATTTTTGATTGTACAGGAAGACCTTTGGTAATGTCAGATTACTGGCCGGTTACGACGCCAAACCTATAGGGGCGGGTTTGGGCTATAGGTTTGGGTCGCGACAATTGGCGTGGTCGATCTTAGCTTTCATCAATGCATCAAATAATATCCAAAATGGAGTTTGCCTCAAACAATTCAACTCAGCCTCTGAGAACTTGGTGCTCGTCATCAATTTAATTAAGCCTGTAATATTTGATCGGTGGTAGTTAACACAATGCATGTCGATGTGGGTGCTCCTCTCTATCGGCACGTTATCGTCTTTGACATAGTAATCCTCTCTATTCCTTTTTGTGCGAAATTTAGGACAACATCTGCTACATAGATATGCACCATAGTGAGTGTCTATATGAATATTCAAATTGTTAACATCACAAAACAGTTAAACTTAAATCAGTGGTGAAGGTTCACAATAAAATCGAACTACAATTAGAAGACACTTTATTATTTGGAGGTTAGCTTGATGTGAATGTTCACAATATATCATACAAATGGGTACATCCACAACAATCATGTAACAATTTTTTTCACAGCATGGGCCACTAAGACATCACCAACATATCATTGATTTCAAAGTATATTATATTGACAAGAACATAATTTCTCAACACAAAAGAAATATTTACATACTATCTCAACAGTAACATTCACATAATAACCATATTGACCAAACCTATGTAACAATTATTTTTGCAATAAGAATAATGTGAATGTTCACACTGACATTCACATGAGCCATATTGTGAATAATGTTAAACTTTAGGAAAATCTAATTAAGCCATAATTATAGCAACACAAAACTATTATGTTTAAAATAAAAATGGCTTGTATAGTGTTAACATGCACAGAAAAATATTGAACAATATATGAATATTCATATAAATTATTGAGAGTACAAAAATGAGAATAAACCTCAAAATCAAACGCCATATGATATGAATGTTCACAACCATTAACAGGGGGGTGGTCAATTTAAGTCGATTGTGAATGTTCACATCAGAATAACATACAACAACAACAATTGAAACAAGCGTGTCACGACCCCAAACCGCCCCTAGTAGTTTGGTGCCGTGATGGCCAGTAATCCGAGATTACCGAAGGCCAACTTTCAAAATTCACACGTAACAGAGTATAAATATATGGGGCTCACAAGTACGGAAGTGATACATACAATCATATTAGTCCATAAGAGCTGTGCATAAGTCAAATGAAATAGCAACCGTCTTCACATGGGTTATAACTTAATTACAAACGAAGCAAGGTACAAATTACATCTTATATATTAACAAAGGCTTCACAAGCCGACACAAACAAAATGTACGAACTACAGGTCAAGGAACACAGTCTGCCAGGTTGCCGATATCCTCTTTGCCGACATAACAATCATACAAATCACACATCTTGATCAAAAGGCTTCTCAAGCCGACGTATGCAACATACAAGCATTACAAATCGAGAAGCATAGTTTTCAAGACTGCCGACGTAAATACAGGTTAAGCCGACATAATCAAAATCCAAAATAAGCTCCAGAATCACATCTAGGCGTCACCGCTTTCTTGTTCATCACCTATAT